GTCTGTGTTTTGTTTTTCTCTTCTTCTTATTTGGTTAAAGAGATTATTGTGTTGTGTGATGATTAACTCGGTGATTCACACCACTGATCAGTGTGCTCCATTGTACTTTACACAGAAGTAAATTTCTCTGATCTCACTGTCTCTTCACAGTTGGCAGAATTGTGGTGGAGCTGTTTGCAGACATCTGTCCCAAAACTTGTGAAAACTTCAGATGTCTCTGCACAGGTGAATGAATTTACTCAATAAAACTATTCCACAAATGATGACAATTAACAGGGCAGGTTATTAATCAGATCTGTGGTTTGGTCCAGGTGAGAAAGGCATTGGGAAGGGAACTCAGAAACCGCTCCACTACAAAGGATGCCTTTTTCATCGAATTGTAAAAGACTTCATGATTCAAGGAGGAGACTTCAGTGAAGGTGAGATTACAGGACTTGTAAATTTTATATTCGACATGGAAAGATGGTGTTACTTATGAGTCAACAGATTTTTTTTTTTTCTGTGATACAATGGTTCATGGTTTTATGTTGGGATTTTTTTTTTTTTTAATTTATGTTTTTTTACATCATAGGTAATGGAAGAGGAGGCGAATCCATTTACGGAGGCTTTTTTGAAGGTAAAGAGGCCACTGTGAATGCCATCAGTTATTATCCAAACTGACTTTGGCTTCAAGATGTCAGTACAATCTTCTCCTTTTCCCCCCAGACGAAAGCTTTGCAGTCAAACACAACAAGGAGTACCTGCTGTCAATGGCCAATCGGGGTAAAGATACAAATGGATCCCAGTTTTTCATGTAAGCAACATCTGTTCCTACCTGTAATTGACGTCGTGCATTATTAGTTGCATTTCTGGACTTTGAAAGTGATTAGATGCTTCTTTTTTTTTTCCCTTGAATGTCCTACTTTCACATCTCAGAACAACAAAACCTTCTCCACATCTCGACGGGTAAGTGCCTCCCAACTACATTTTGAATTATTAATTGATCCCGTTATGCACAATGCACGCAGCATGTAATGAGGCATTGCTACCACTTTATTTTCTTAGTGTGCATGTGGTTTTTGGTCACGTGATCTCTGGTCAAGAAGTCATTCAAACCATGGAGAGCCAGAAGACGGACCCCAACAGCCGACCGTACGCTGAGGTGAAAGTTTTGAACTGTGGAGAACTCATCCCCAAATCTAAAGGTGTGTTTAAATAAAGTATATTCAAAGTTTTTTGTTTGTTTGTTTTTTAAATGAGTTTCAGTCATCATAATAATGCTGTTTATGTTGTTGCAGCAAAAAAAGATGCAAAAAAGAAGAAGAGGGCCTCATCAAGCTCCAGCAGTAGCTCCAGTGACTCTGAGAGCTCCTCAGAGTCGTCCTCCGAGAGCGAAGAGTCAGAAAAAGAATCCAAGAAGCGGAAAAAGAAGGCAAAGAAGCAAAAAGAGAAACAGAAGAAGGAGGACAAGAAGAAGTACTTCATTTATTTTCACCTTTTCACTGTCTGCTGTGTAAATGGCACCAAGTGTCTTGCTACTGACCCACAAAATCTTTGCAGATCAGAAGCTGAAAGTGCTGAAGAGAAGGAACAAGATGAGTTGGTTACATCTACAGTGCGTCCTGAAGAAATCCCACCCATCCCTGAAAATCGATTCCTTATGAGGATAAGTCCCCAGATAGCCCAGAAGTCAAAGGAGGAGGTTAACAAGGATCAGCGAAATAAAGACGAAAGACCAAGAGAAAGGTGTGTTTGAGAGTCAGCCAATATCACAAATATCAAAAAGTAATACAGTTTGTTCATTTTCACGCCTTTCCTCACCTACAGTACTGGCGCAGCTTACAACTCTCAATCAACATATCACAGAAGACTCGTGATGACTCGATCTGGCAGGAAAATAAAAGGCAGGGGTCCAAGGGTAGGTGGACCAAACGTTTTGCACACTTTACGTCATACAGCGAGATTAATTTATAACAAGCTTTGTTTTGTTTTTACTTATGCACAGGCATGTTGAAGATGCTGATTTATGTTTCTCCCATCTAGAGATACCGGACCCCATCACGCTCTCGTTCAAGGTCTAGAGATCGTTTTCGGCGCAGTGAAACTCCCCCACACTGGCGACAGGAGATGCAGCGTCAGAGGATGAGGGCAGTCACAGGAGAGCGATGGATTAAGGGTGACAGGTAAGATGATATCACTTAAAGTCAAAGATGTTGTAAAGTTGTAGAAGTTCCCTGTTGGCAGGACTTTTTTTTTTTTTTTTTTAACTTAATCCACTTTAAAGCACTTGAGAAAATTTTTTTGTTGGGCTCCATATTTCAGATTTAGAAATCATACATTGCAGTGTGCATGTAT